CCACTCAAAATTACTTTCCATTCTTTCACATATATTTTGTATATTTTTATGGGTACACATCTTGTCTCCCCCAATAGAATGTAAGCATCTTGAGAGTAGGGATTGTTTCATTTTTTGTTTGGTATCCCAAACACCTACCACAGTGCCTGGAATATTAGTTGTTGTTGTGCAATCATTTCAGTCATGTCTGACTCTTCATGATCCCATTTGGGGTTTTTCTTGACAAAGATCCTGGAGAGGTTTGCCATTTCCTTCTCCAACTCATTTTGCCGATGAAGAAACTGAGGCCGACAGGTCTGAGGCCAGATTTGAACTCAAGAAGATGAGTCTTCCTGACTCCAGGCCCAGTGCTCTATCCAGTACACCACCTAGCCACCTAAATGCTTATTGATTATTTAGGGGAGTTGATTGATTGAGTTGGAATGTTAGCATCAAACTCACAAGGCTATGAAAATTATATTACATCACACAATATTTGTGAAAAAGCTTTCTAACCACAATTATTATTATTCCTCCTAACATTTAGATGAGGCTGGCTAAGTGTTCGCTGACAATTTTATTAATGAACAAGCTCAAACATAGAGTGGTTGAGTAACTGTTCTATCATCCCCCAGTTTCATCAATGACAGAGGCAGGAGAAAACAGTAGCCAATTCACTGAGTTACCCTTCTGGGCATCATCATTCATTACCGTGTTTTAAGAGACTCGAAATTGAAAGTTGTCTGAATTCACTTTGGCACCTCCTGCCTCCAAGGTGTGATGAGACTAAACAACTGGAAGCCAGCATGACTAAGAATGTGCATCACCAAAATTGAATAATAAAAATGTCAAGGATAGAACTGGGTTGGGTTTTTTGTTTGTTTGTTTTCAAAGAACTGGATAATCACAAGACAACTTAAAAGAAAAACAGTGCCAACTCATAAGAATGCTTTTGGTCAGTGGGGAGAGAAGGATGAGGTTAATCTGCCGGCATATTATCAGAGTAGGAGGAAAGATGCTAAGAACCACTCAACTCAGTTTTTCCCTTATGCGTAGGAGAAGTGGGCTGTAGGAGGGAGATGTAAGGATTACCCAGGTATCCTTATTAGGTAGAGCACCACCGAGTATCTGTACATGCAAAGGGCACCTGGTCCCCACAGGAAGCACATAATAATTGTCCCCAGCTAACTTCTCTGCAGGGAAGTCAGTATGCTTGCTTCAAAGTAAATGTCACGGCATTTGACCAGATGGTAGTTTGGCTGAAACTGAGATTATCAAGTGTAAAGAGGCTGGAGGTGAAGGGAGAAGCAACCAGGAGAAGTAACCATAGCTGGAAAGAAGTATTCCCAGGGTGCCTGTGGAATCAAAGGGAAGATGGGAGCTTTTTGGATAATGGTATCATACTGTCTCCTATTCCTAATTAAAAGTGACTATTTAAGAAACTATAACTCTACTACTTATTTTATTGTTTTGAAACTGGGGTTATAATAAATATGTCTCCATTTGCATTTCTGGTGGTTTATAAGCCTTTCTTTCAACACATCAAATCCCTGCTTCTAAATTCGCTAAACAACCAGTCAATCATCAAGGGCTGCATCACCCCCATTTTCCCCTATGGCCTCTCCCTTTTAACTGAGTATCAAGATTCAATTTTACTCCTTAAATTGGGGGTTCTTGACCTTTTTTGTGTCATGGACCTCTTTGGCAGTCTGCTGAAGCCTATGAAACCCTTCTCAAAATGAATGAATTTTAAAAATGCATAATATTACAAAGGAAACCAATTATCTTGAAATACAGCTGTCAAAATTTTATAAAACAAGCTTAATGAATACAGCTATAAAAAAACACTTTTTTTTCTTTTTTGGTGAGGCAATCGGGGTTAAGTGACTTACCCAGGGTCACACAGCTAGTAGTAAGTGTCAAGTGTCCAAAGCCAGATTTGAACTCAGGTCCTCCTGACTCCAAGGCTGGAGCTCTATCCACTGTGACACCTAGCTGCCCCTCAAAAAAAGATATTTTTAACAAGTTCATGGACCCCACACCCTTTTACTTAAATATTCACCCTCTGAACCATTTTTTTCCCCAGAAAAGAGTTACCCAACTCCCAGAAATGGATTAAAAGAGAATTGTCAGGGAAAATACCACACTCTCTGGATTGTGTTCTCAGATAACAAGTAGAAGCTGAAAGAGTGAAGTGAGCAGAACCAAGAGAACATTGTACAGAGTAACAGCAATATTGTTTTAAGAATGGCTTTGGGTGACTAAGTCATTTTGACTATTATAAATACACAAATGAAAAGTAAAGGACATATGGAGAAAGATGCTTTCTGCATACAGAGAAAGAACTGATGACTAGAAGTAAGCATAGGATAATTTTACATATATATATATATATATATACATACATACCTATTTGTCTAATGGTAGCCATCTCTAGGGTGAAGGTGGGGAGGGGAGAGGGAAGGAAAAAAGAGGAAAAAAATTTACATGATAACTTTGTTGTATTTTTGGAGGAAACAGCAAGTTGTACATGCAGTTTTCATGTCCAATAATCTTTTTTATAGTTTTATTCTTATGAACCTTGTTTTGTTCCATGAATTGAAAATAAATGAATAAATGAATGAATGAATGAATAAGATGATATGGGGCTAGACAGGTTGTGATGTGATGAAATCATAAGTGTTTGATATTTTAATAGTGTTTACATGAAAATTTCACTTAGTATTCACAGCACCACTTTTTTTGTTTGTTTGTTTGTTTTTTTATATGAGGCAACTGAGGTTAAGTGACTTGCCCAGAGTCACACAGCTCGTGAGTGGCACCACTTTTAAAAGTACATTTTTATTGATGCCTTTGGTATTTACTTCACAATCATTTCAACTGCCATCCTCATGCCTAACCTCAATTTAACCCTCCCTTGTGACAAATAATAAGAATAGCTAGTGTTTATATTGTGCTTTAAATATATTATCTTGTCTGATCCTCATGAATAACCCATCGAAGTAGGTACAATAATTATCTCCATTTTTTATATGAGAACATGGAGTGACTTGCCCAGTCATGCAGCTAGTAAGTAAACAAGGCAGAATTTGGATTCAGGTATTCTTGATTCCAAATCCAGTACTCTATCAAGTGAGATAACATTTGTAAAGCACTTAGTACAATACGTGGCACATAGTAGGCACTTAATAAATATTTGTTCCCTAACGACTGCTTCACTTACCTGCCTCAAAAGAGAAACAGTAAAGGGGAAAACATTTGATAGAAAATCCATGTCTGACAATGTTTTGTCCTAGAGGCCCTGTAGGTGTCTGCCACAAAAAAAAGAGAAGTAAGTTTAATATCTGTTCTACGGAACTGTTATTGGTTTGTTTTTTTAGTTACTCGGAGTCTGACTTTGTTTCAGTGCTCTTTTCATTTACATCGTTGTAGTAAGGTCTATTATCTTGGCTCTGCTAGTTTTGCCCTGTATCAGTTCAAGAGGTATATGGGGTGTTCAGAGAGGAGTAGCACCTCTGGTATGAGGGCTTGCCATGCCCTTTTCAGGGCTGTTCATCGACCTTTGGTGTCCACCTTCACCCAACTTTCACCTGAGGCTCAGTTGTGTGCCCAGTGACCGCACCCCAGTAAGCCATCTCAGCAGAAAGGCTCAATCAGGTTGAGGGTAACCGATGGGCCTCAAATCTGTGGTTGAGTTAAGGGGGTATCTACCCCAAGCATGTGAAGACTTCCCCCCACCCCCATGGAATGTGTGGATGAGAACAACTGAAACCATGAAAGCGGCTGCAGCAGGCACCATGGAGGCCTTACAGCTTGGTCAAACAAGAAAAACACCAAGGGTCATCCACTGCATCCTGGGCCATTGCCAGTCATCTTGACTTTTGTCCTGCACTGGACTTCGATGACCAGAAGACAGAGTAAAGCTGACTTTGTGCATCTCTACCTCACTTAAATCCAATTCAGAAGCAAGTCAAGGCATCATTGCATGATGTCACTGGTTCTCTTCAAAATGAAGGACGAACAACAATATCAGTTCATACTAATCTCCTATTTCCCTGATTTCTTCATATTGATCATTTCTTACTACACAATAATATTCTATTTTACTCATATACCATAAAGTTTAGGGTTTTGATTTTTTGAGGGTTTTTTTAGAATTCTTCAGTCAATTTGTTTCTAGTTCTTTCCTACCACAGAGTATTTTAATTAACATTTTGACATATATGTAATTTTTGTTTGTCTCTGACTTCCCTGGGGTATGTATATGTGTGTGTATGTGTGTGTCTATATATACTTGTTGTTTAGTAATTTTTGTCTTGTCTGAATCTTTGTGATCCATCCAATTTGGGGTTTTCTTGGCAAAGATACTAGAGTGGTTTACCATTTCCTTCAATTTCCTACCAATTCATTTTACAGATAAGGAAACTGAGGCAAATAGGGTGAAGTGACTTGCCCAGAGTCACACAGCTAGTAAGTGCCTGAGGCCAGATTTGAACTCAGGTGCTCTATCTACTGTACCACCAGCTGCCCCATAAATATGTAGATAGATATATACATAGGTTCATAGATGTATATACATATATACATATATACATGCGTATATAAATATATATATGTTAATACTCCTTAGGAGAATCACTGGGTCAAAAATATGTAAAATTAGCTACTTTTCTTGAAAAGTTCCAAATTGATATTCAGAATGGGTGTAACTTTATTTGAATTGTACCAATTTTGTGTGACTAATAAAAATCAAGTAAATTTTTCAGGAAAAATGAACAACAGAAATGACATTGACACAGACTATAATAATTTCATCCCAAAAGTAATCAGAAAGCAGCCAGATTGGTAAAATTAATGCATTTATTAACATCAAATAAATATATTATAGTCATATGATTACATCATGTATCATAGATGAACTAATTTCAGTTAGTTCACAACATTTAATGTTTTCAATAAATAAAACCATATCATTGAAATCTTTATAAATAAAACACATAATTACAGCATTAATAAATACAGTGAACATTAGGAAGAATTTTCCCCCTAAAGGATTGGGAAGTATTCACTAAATAAGTATAAAGGTCATTTTAAAAAAATAAATAAATTATTTTTTTTGTATAAAACACCTATCCAGACTAACATTTCAGCTATATAGCCCCAGCAAGGTTTCAGAAGCTCACTTTTGGGGCTCAGAAACAGAATGCACTTATTAATAATATGCTTGAGTTTTTTCCTTCTGGGGGTACATATTGAATGGACACTTTTATGCTAGAGTTCTGACTTCCCAATTGCCTTTTTGAAGGGGGAGATAAACCATTCTAGTTTTCCATCTGATCTTCCAAAACTTTGGATTTCACTTTCTTATTCTTCTTATTTTGTCGAGAGCTTTAAGCACAGTATCTTCGCAGGAACATGAACAGTAGATCCAGTTCACTAATTGCTTTTATCTCTCCATTCTTTCCCAACTGGAAAAATAAGAAACAAGATCATCTTAGGACTTATACCAACAGGATCAAAATTAGAAGAAGAGATGGAATAATTAGATCACTGGAAAGAAACGGCTCTGTTACAGTAAATTAATTCAGTCTTTTAAAGAGTTTACAATTTCCAGTCCTTTTAAAATGGGTTCGAAGCAATATTCTTTGAATAAGGGAGGAAACTGCAGTTGGTTGTTGTTGCTGTTGTATGGCCTTCACTCTCAAAGAGGACCACGACATCAGGAAGATGATGCCATGATATGCAAGTGAATTGGATTTAAGTGAGGGAGGGCTGTGAAAAGTCACCAGCCTCACTTTCTCTTCTAGAGCCATGTGGGTCCAGTGGCCAGATATAGATTATTACCAAACACCAAGAATATTACCAAAACCCATGGACTGCAGCTATTAGAGCCATAGGGACTCTGCAGAACCACTGAGGCACCCAGCATAGTGTGCCTGGCACATAGTAGGCGCTTAATAAATTCCCTTAGCTGTTATCTCACAGTCCATATTTTTAAAAAAAAAATCTATTTCACAGGGTTGTTCAAGGAATATGACTTGTAACCCTTAAAGTGCTATGTAGAAATGAGTTATTATTTATCTCCTAAAATATACCATAATTCTTAATATTCTTTCCACTAACTGAAAGTCCAAATTCCTTTTTGGTCTTAAATTCTACTTACTTTGTCATTCTCCCAGAGAGAATTCTCAAAACATCATTAATAGGCATTGGATTATTTTAGCTAATGACTTCATAAGATCATTTCAAGTCTCCAGCTATATTAATGAAGTAAAATTCAATTAGCTAGCTTTTTCTCTCATACTCCACTGTTAGTGGAAAGCATATGATGATAAAATAAGTTTGTTTTATCCAAATACTTTTATCCAAATTTTATTCAAAATTTTGTAATTTTTATCCAGTAATTTTATTCAAAAATCTGATTTCCACAGATCAGGCATCAGCTTAACTTCCTATACCTCCTAAATACACAGCCCAAACTCTAAATGATCATAATTTATCATTGTTATGAAACATCATTAAATTCTCAGTCATCAACATACAAATCAGCTAAGTTTGCCATACTATACTTACTATGGCATTAAAGTAGATTAATATGTTTTAGGAAGAGTTTCCATAGCTAGGTTTGAAATTTTAAAAAATTTTCAAAGTATACCTCTATAATCCTGAAATTGCCATTAACTAGGCAACTTACTCTCCATATTTCCAACTTCACCTTGTTTCACTGTACCTATCCCCTAACAACAGCATTCTCTTCACAGCTCATATCCATTCCCCTTCATTCTAGCTGAGCACCAGTTGCTATTTGGGGGTCTTCCCCTAATCAGTAGAGTTCAGGCATGTAGAAATGAAGTCCTTCAGAATTCTGTACACATGGACTGACTCTCAGGTCTGACTTCTTTCTTCCTCTCATAAATGATCCCACAACGAAAAGAAGGTCTGACCTTCTGCTATATTTATAGGCAGCTGCTAAAGATTAGGGCACGTTGACCATTTGTCTTAAATAAAAAACAAAAGTTGTTGGTTGCTGTGTTAGGGTAAGCTGGACCTGAAAACTCAAGAATGTTTCCTATAAAGTGGATCTTGCAGTAAGATTCCAGCTTTTCCTCCATCCTTCACTTATTTCTCCATGTTTTTAATCTTTTAGGTAAACAGTGCCAGAACTCAATTCAATAAATAGATTTGTTTCCTGAGCATTTTTTTTTTTTGGAAAAAAATCTTATTGAGTAAATATAACTCTAAAATTGGAAAAATTTAAAACAAAATTGACATTCATCTCCATAACTCATTTTTAAGTGAGTTAATGATGATAAGATTAAAAATTGCCTGGCACAGAAATGTATATATTCCAAATCCTAAAAGTATAGATGGGTTCCCAGTTCTCAGTAGGGTAGCATAATGGAAAAAGTCAGTGAACATGGTTTAAAATTCCACCTCTGTGACTTTGAACAAGCCTCTTAAAAGCCCTGAGCCTCGCTTTCCTCATCTGCAAAATGATGGGGTTGGAGTTAATGGCCTCCTAGCTCTCTTCCAGCTAATTGAGGGGCCAAGAGTGCAAGTTTTTTGGAAATGATAAGTGCACCTTAGATTGAGAGCCAGATGTAGGATTTAAGTCTTTGCCCTGATACTAATTTACCAGATGAGTTTAGTCAAGGGAAATAATCAGTATGGGTCTCTACTTCCTCATTTGTAAAAAGAAAGGGTTGGCCCAGTTCATTTCTAAAGTCCTTTCCAGCTCTTACAATCTATGATTTATCAGATTATTTATATATACATAGATATATATATATACATACACACACACACATACATATATATACATACATATATGTATATATGTACACACATACATACGGTGTCCCAAAAGCCTTAGTGCAATTTTAAGCTGTAAGAGCTTTAGGAAATAAGACTTTGGGGACACCCTACGTATAAACAAAAAGATATAGACATATCTAGTCACACAAACCAATATTCATTCAATAAACCCTTAAATGAACTGGACATTCCCAGGTTCCTTTTGATAATATTTTGACTCCCAGATTTAGAACAAACAAGTGTTACCAAATGAAGGAAAGGGCATTTTTTTCCTTCCTATTAAACTCTTTAATATTGCAATAGATATAAATAAAGGCCATTAATACCTGTTTTAGTTTGCTCTTCACATTATCAATTTTTCTCTGGACAGGACTGCCATCACCCTTCAAAGTCTACAAAAGGAAAAATACAATGTCAAATATAACGTCAGTTTCAATATGATGTTTCTTAAATTTTGTATCCCTTAGTCTGAACATGAGCGTGAGGCTTCCTTTGATTAAAGACCTGAAAACAATTCTATCAGTCATTTTTTTAATTGGTGACTTAGATTTTCCACACTGTTTTTGCCCTTGGGCCTCACCTACATGACACGAATTAGCCATGTGGAGAGGGTGAAACGATTTATTCCACATTCTGAATTTAACAAAGGCTATGCCACATTATTCTTGTATTTTGTCCAGCACCTCACAGTCAATCGGGAGCTAAATGACTCATGAACATGTGCCAAAAAGATTTTCGTAGTTTTAAACTTCCAAGGAAATAAGGTTAATGTATTTTTAATTTGGTCCCTTCCTATAACATCACAAGGCACTTATGAATGTCCTTTGACATACACCCATTGTCTTAGCACCCTATGACCTTGAACAAATTCTTTTACCCGTCTGGACGTTTCCTCATCTGTCAAATGACAGGGCTTGGACTAGATGATCTATGAGGTTCTTTCCATTTCAAAATCTATGGTCCCCTAAGTCTATTATGAAAACGTGACATTCTGCTCTCTAGCCTTTCTTTCCATTCTTTCCTCCCCTCTCCTTGACTTTCTAGGTCTCAGATTTCTCAATTAATATATTTTATTTCTCATTTTCTCATTTTTCATCATTCTTAATTTCTCATTAATATATATTTTAAGCTACGAAGAGCAATCTCAGAGCTCCATTCCTCAGCACATCATCTCTAAATTGCATTTTTGCCAGGCACAAGTGAATTCAAAAAGAGTGATCATCCTCTGTTTATTCTTAAAGGTCCGGATTTAAGTAAAGCAAATCAAACAAATAGTCATACACATTCCCTTATTTCAAATGATTCAAAATTTCACAGACCCTCAGAGTTTAAAGGGAACTCAAAGGTCATTGAGTGCAACCTGTACCCTATAACAAGAATCTCTCATTTAATATCCCTTCCAAATGACCATCCAGCCTCTCGTTTAAGAACCTCCTACCTCCCAAAATAGACTATTCCACTTTTGGACAGCTCCTGATTAGAAATTTCGATCAATGAAAAACCATTCTCTACAAAACTTCCTTCTCTGGCTCCTAGTTCTTCCCTAAGGGGATTAGCATAAGAAATCTAACCCTCCTATCGTGGCAGTCTACAAGTAATAACTCTGAATGGAGGTGATAGCTAAGAGTAATTAAAGGAAGGTTGTCTTTAAGTGAGTAGAAGAGAATACTCACACAGCCATTCAGCTTGCTTTTCAGATCATGCAGGAAGGGCAACACGTCTTGCATGTCTGACTTGAATTTTTGCTGGTGAGGAGGCAACGCTTCCTTCAAGACCAGGTTCAGAATCTCCTTCATCATATAACAGCGATTTGTGTCCTGCAAGACAAAATTCACCCCAGTTAGAGTGAATCATAAACACAGAGCATCCCTCCACCCAAAGTCAAGTCAGCTAGCATTTGCTGAGTGCTTATCTTATGCCAGGCACTGCGCTAAGCACTAGGGATACAAACAAAAAAGAAGGACCATTCACACCCTCAAAGGGCTTACATTCCTTTTTTTAATTTTTTTTTTTTCACAAAACAAGCACTGACTGTTACTCTCAATAAACAAGGACATAGTCTTGTCATGTAGAGTATGGCCATTACTTACTTCCACATCGTTGAACATGGAACGCTCGAGGAGTCGAGTGCTGGTTTCGTTATCGAACAAACTGCCCTGGAAGGGAAGAGGAGCAATGTGGAGACTTGTAATATGGGAAGAGAATGAAGCAAAGAAAGTATACCAAATGGAAAATCCAGGTGTAGATTATATATTGAAAATGGAGGAGTGGCAGGGGAATATTAAGGAATGAGGGAGAGAATGAAGAGTCAATGAACTCAATGGTTCCTTTAGAGGTAGCTCTCAGTAAAATATCCCAAAGGCTAGTATAGTAGGTTTTCTAGCTAAACAAAATATGCCCCTGTGTTTGGCATATAAAAACTTGGCTCCTTCTTCTCTTTCCAATCTTCTTTCATTTGACTGCTCCGTGCATTCTATCTATGACCCAGCTCACTGACCCACTTGAAGTGCCTCTAGCACAATACCCCCGTCCTCCATATTCCTTACACTAGCTGTACCCATATCTGGAATATTCTAATCCTTCACCTCCATCTTTTAATTAACCTGTATTCCTTCAAGGCAAAAAACTGACCTTCAAGAAGTCATCCTGATCCTCTTTCCTTCCATTTCTCCTCTTTCAGATTACTTTTCCATCTACTCTGTAAATATCTCATATGTACCTAGTTAGTAACTTATTGTCTCTACCAATAGAATATACTCTTTAGGGCAAGGCCTATGGCATTGTTGTTAGTTGTTTTTGTTTGTTTTGCCCTTCTTTGTGATTACAAAGCCTTAAAGCATAGTAAGCGCTTAGTAAGCTTTTTTAGAGAGCAAAAGAATCAATAACACTGATTTGGAATTCCTCAATATTTGCCCTAATCTTCTACTATGGGGAGCAAATTTTTAAAAAGGGTTTTTTTTTAATGTTTTGAATTTTATTGAATCTAACACTATGAACCAATTTTATTTCCAACTGTACAGCTTCCTGGAGGATGAAATAAAAGAAAGTATTTCTTGTTTAGTCAGTAAGAGAGAGGGAGAAAATATTTTTTCTTACCTTTTGGGCCAGTGAGATGATTCGGTGGCTAATGTAACGCTGCTGAAAGGTGGACTTTTCAAGTTTGCAGGAAGATTTGACAGAAGCCCCTTCTCCTCCCTGAACCAACAGGGTAATGAGAAGGAAGCACAGAGCCAAGGTCGCCATGTGAAAGAAGCTCTCCAAACCCTTCTGAGTCTCCTTTACAGTCATTTGGGTCTCTAGTGTTGGGCAATCTCAGGTTGGAGAATCTATTGTTAAAGGAAGAAATACAGAAACATTAGCGACAGGAGGTGAACTATAATAAATTTTAAAACATCAACAAAGCTAAGTATATTAAAAGACTTACAGTTTGGATGAGTCTCGTTGTAATGTGAGCATTGGAAGGTGCTACTTTTATAGATCCCAGGGTCTCAATTTTTTCAAATTATGATTTAAATATGACATCAGCACATTGTCTAATTTCCAGTACTCTCTTCTAAGAACCACTTAACCACTACTAGAGCCCACAAAGCATCCCCTCCCTGGCTTCCTACCTTGAGACACAAAGAAGTGTCCTTCAGTTGTCCTTATCATAACACAGGAAGGGCTTTCATAAGCTAAGCCCAGAAATTCTTTAACCCCAGCGATTTTTCAGAGAAAATAATTATGCTATCTTGATTAATTCCACATTTTAGTAAAAGTGTCCCTTGCTCTCCCCCCCGGGGCTGAGAAAGCATTTCGTTTGCAAACTCTTTTTTCTACCAATTTCATAGATTGTTATCTCATTAGGGTATTTTGAAACAAAGGAGCCGAAACCTATATTCTTTGCTGGTAGTTTTCCTAGCGGATGAGTTCAGAACAGGATTCTTAGCCTGTTTTGTGTCATGGGATTCTCTGGCAGTCTGGTGAAGCCTATGGACCCCGTTCTTAGAATGATGTTTTTAAGTCCATAAAACAAAATTTAAAAAAAAAATAAGATCACAAAGGAAAGCAATTAAATTGAAATTTAATCATGAATTTTTTTAAACCCAGGTTAAGAAGTGCTGATTTAGAGATATTTTCATGGGCAAAGAATTTATATGGAAAATAAGTGATTGTGCTTATTTTAACACTTTTCAAAAGCCTCCTTATTGCTAAATAGCTTTCAAGATAAATTTAGAATTTGATTATCATTTTTCATATTATGGAAGGGTTACTGAATAAGAGAGTGCAACAAACTTAATATATGTTGAAAACTACAGCATGTAACATTGCAGTTGGTTTAAGTTTTATTATAAAAAATTAAATCACAAGGGTAAGTGTGAGAATGGGCAAATGATTCAAAAATTGCCTAAAGCATGAAAACAACGCAACCTTTATCTACTAAAAAGGTGTACAGACAATGAATGGGAGACATCCACTTTTAAATTAATCAATATTCTGCACTCCACCTTCTGGTATTACCAAGAGAAAATCTTCTGCTTTTTTCGGGGGGGAACAACCTTAGAGCTTTTAGATATGTAGAGGGCTTAGAAATGGGGAAAAGTAAGGCACTATGAAAAGCAAAGATCACTGGGACCCTTTCCTCCATTCTTCCCCTCCCCTGCCCCAGGCCACTCAGAATATATCTGGGTGTGCTATGGGGTGCCCTTCTTCCCCAAATTGTCTTCCAACTTCCTTTTCCACTTCCCCAACCCACCCCACCTCCCACTTAATCACACTATAGGAATCTATAGGAGAGAGCCCTGAATCCACATTCCATATTCAAGCCCACTCCCACTTTCTCAAGGAAGGAATGTAGGGGCTGGGGAGCTTTAAAGCCCCCTGCACCTTAAAGTGGATCTGGATTTCACACTGTTTGGATGAGACAAGAATCACCAACTGTGATCTTTCTAGTGAGATGAAAGACCACCCTCCCTTGCCACCTGCTTTGATACTGCATCCTAAAGTCCTCTGGGCCTTGCTATCTACTTTAGAGCTTTGCTTAGACCCCCGGGCACCACCTTGTGACTTACTGATGCTTCCTAAAGCCCCTTGGACCTTTCCTTCTATACCACAGCTAAACCCTCAAGATTCCCAGGTCTTTCTGTCAGCCTTGTAGCTGAATTCCCAATTAGGGTATTAGCTCCTTCAGAACAGGGACTATCTCACTTTTTTATTTCTATCTCCAGCACTTAAAACAGTACTTGGTACATCATAAGCACATAAGAATTGCTTTTTACATCCATTCATTTGTACATTTACTCTTTTGTTTATTCATTCATTCACATAGCATATGAGACTCCCAGATGGGGGTAGGCACTCCATTCTAAAGCATCTCCTACCCTGCTCCCATTTGATTTTCTTTACTTTATTAGAGTATCTGAAATTTACACTCCTTAAAGTTTCATTTGGGTTAACAAGTACCCTCTTTTAAAATATAAATGCTTGGGGACAGAATGGACACAATGCTATTCATAAATATAGGACCAAGGGCTTCCAATGTGGAGTGTAGGTCCAGTTTCATTTGAAATTTTTATTAATGATTTGGAACAGAGGACACTTAGCAGAGCACATAAAAAAGACATTTCACAGTAAATCTAACTATTCTCTGCGGATATTCGACAGTCCAATCGCTAATAAACATTGAAATAATAGCTGACATGTTGAGAAAGTTAAGGTTTGCAAATCACTTTGTGTAACTTATCTCATTTGGTCCTCACAATAACCACTGAGAAAGTAAATATTATATTATATTATATGACATTATATTATATTACATGACATTATATTATATTTATTTTATTTTATTATATTTATTATGTTATAAGTATTATCCCCATTTTACAGATGAGGAAACTGGGGCTTCAGAGATTTGCATGTGGTTATATAGCTGGCAAATGTCAATGGTAAGATTTGAACTTAGGTGTTTCCCATCTCTAGGCCCAGTACTCTTCCTAATAAGGAGACTAAGAATGTAGCTCTGATTCCTAAACTCATCTGTTGGCTTCCCAAATGCTATGCTGTTCCCTCAAGTCATTTCTGCTATATGTGGTGATACATCTGTGAGAGCTATTGATTTTATAGGTGAAAGATGGTGAAGCATCATGGTAAGCCAGCACCTTTACTAAAAAGAAAAACAACTGAAATCACAACTGCACTCAAACATGTGTGTGGCCCAGAACTTGCCTTTTTGTTCTCCTTGGATGGACATTTCCAAGTCTAATTTGTTAAAAGAGAAACTTGGGAAACTAAAAGTGATATGTCAAGAGGTGGCATATTTAAGTCTGTTTTGTCCTGTATTGACCATTTTTTGCTATCTGATGCCTTGACAGGTACTCCAGGGACAACTTCAAGCAAGCTGTCTCCTTCGAAGTCTGATAGCCCCAGAAAAGAGACTCTTATTCTTTATCTCATCTGATAGAGGAAGTATTGCTCCCTTTGATCTAACAGGACTGGTTATTGAACAATGGCAGATTCCTTGGCAAGCATCCACTTTTGTTGTGTGATACGTCAGCTCTTACTACCCACCCCTCTCTGTCTCATGTATCTATCGTGTGGATGATAGACTGATAAAGGTATCTCTAGTTGAATGGTGATGCACATGTATCCATTTTCTACTGATGAAGCATGTCACATTCTACATGAATAAACTGCTGATTATCTCTTTCTGTCTGTCTCCTGTGCTGGCTTATTCACAATGAATAGGCAGGACCAAATGAGAATTCTTGCAATAGTCCTATATTCAAATGATAAGAATGTCAAAAGAAAATAGGGAAGGTCACCATTAGATCCTATGAAGAACTTACAGGAAGCGCAAGTGAGTCACACAAGAGGGGCAAGCATAAATGGGCTAAATGATTGAAGGGAACACCAACTTCAAGGAGATCACAGATCTTATGAATTACTTGAGTTTTTCCCAAGCTTGGGACATCCCTCCATAAATGTCAATCTAAGTAGCACTTACCAATAGAATTTAGTGGACTGTTTTTTGCATCATCACTACCTTTGCTCCCTCTCCCCTCACCCCAGTCCTGAGATGTTTGCTATTTGCAGACCAGTGGATGTTAGACATAGATGACCTGAACAAACTCACTGATTCGGGGCTTATTTTGCTGATGCCTGAAATTCTATGCTGAGAGAAGCGTGTTTTAAGACTTTGATTCCTGTTAAAAGGCAAATACCTGCAAATGCCTGAGATTCGTAGTCAGATCTGGGCTTGAATCTTGATTCTGCCACCTGTCCAAACTTGGGCAACTTACTTAACCTCTGGGACTCAGTTTCTTCTTCTGTAAAATGATGGGAGTGGTCAAGATAGCCTCTATATTTTCCTTCCGGCTCAAGAATCCTATAATCCCATGTAACTCTCTAAACTTATTAAGAAAATCATTTCAAATGTGGTGTAAATGAGTTTCAGATCCCTTTCTTTAAAGCACATTTTAATACGCCCACTATAAGAAGAGAGAATCTTCAAAGGCACTAGCTTCCCCAAAAGGGTGGGCTCTGGAGGTACTATAGTCTGGGACATAGGTAGGGGTGTCGTGAGGCTCAAATGACATAATAAACATAAAGCACTTTACAAACCTTAAAGCACTATATAAATGCCAGTTATCATTAGAAGAAGTATTACTATTAATACTACTGCTACTACCAATATTACTAGTATTAGTAATTAGTAATAATACTAGTAGTAGTACTACTACTACTATAATAATAATAACCTACAGTCATGAGGCCTCCAGTTTAGTGATAACTTCATTCCCTATTGCCCTCCTGATGAGCTTTGACCATGTTTATAGAGAAAAACAGGGGTGTGCTGCTAAACGTTTAACAATCAGGTTCTCTGGGAGAGAAAATACATGCACACGTTTTTAAGTTGAATTTGCATTATTAATACTTTCTTAACTTTAAATAAGTAACAAATCAGTGAATCAAGCCCTGATTTGTAACAATTTCTGAGGTGTAAATGCTCACATTAAAAATTTAATAATGGGCTCTCACAAACAAGTTAGAAGTAGCTGCAGCATACTCCTGGGCAAAGGACAAAGAATAAAGGGTCTGAGCTCTAAAGATAAACTTTAGCTACTTTACAATTTTGCCCAAGTCTACCTCAACTGCCCCAGGGCAACTTCCTGCCCTAGTTTCCCCCTTAGTTATACACATGCCCACAAAGGACAGACTTGTCAACCACAGCCACCTTTCTCTTCTTCCTGAAGGCTTAGTCTTCTGACCTCTGAAGTCTTGATTCAAAGCCTGGTGAAAGACAGACTTTGAATCATCCATAAAG